TTTATTTTACTTTATGTTATTTATAGTCCACCTATCTCACAAGGACTCAAGGCAGATTACACATAGTGAATCAGTACAATCAACAAAATGAGACATTCAATAACCAAAGCACTAGGGTTTTAGAAGTCTGGAACCACCACAAAGCACTAAAGTATAATGCAAGTATTAAGTAATCACATGACAGATTAAGAGGTACAGAAATTACATAAATAGAATCCTACTCACAATAAGGTATAGGCAGCAGTATAGACCACAGTTGGTAATAATTTATCCAAGTGAGTTCATACAACCACTTTGCACCTTGCAACCTTACTACCTGCACAGAAAAGGCCTCTTGCATAATTCAGGTTTGCATAGATTGTGGTAAAACAGAAGATTGGGAGGTTTCTTGACCTCCTTGGGCAGACCGTTCCACAAGGCAGGAGCCACAACAGAGAAAGCATGTGTAAGGGCAATTGTTGATTTTGCCCATTTGCAGGTTGGCACCTGCAGAAAACTCTGTGGACTTGAGCGAAGCTGTCATAGCTGAACATAGGGAGAGACGCGGTCTCGCAAATAAGAAGGGCCAAGGCCATGAAGGGCTTTCTATGTGATAGCCAATACCTTAAACTGAGCCCTGTAACAGATAGGCAACCAATGGAGTGTCTGCAGAATATGAGTAATATGCATGCGCCGTCTAGCTCCAGTTAATAGCCAAACTGCAGCATTCTGAACCAGTTGGGAGTTTCCAAGTTGGTTTTGAAAGGAGACCAATGTACAGTGCATTACAGTAGTCTAGTCTCAATGTTACTGTGGCGTGGATCCAGGTGGCCAGGTGAGCCATATCAAGGTAAGGGACCATTTTACAGGCTAGGCTGAGCTGGCAGAAAGCCATTTTGTGCAGCTGTATTAACTTGCTTCTCCAGTAATAAAGCTGGATCCAGTATGGCTTTTAACTGTGTCTGCGAGAGTCAGCTGAACTCTATCAAAAGCAGGGAGAACATCTGATGCATTAAAGAAGCAGTGCTTGAAGATTACAGACCATGAAACACCATTACAAATGCTCATAGAGTAAGCCTGTCAATACCAAATTCAGTTTAGAACTAGGCAAGTTCCACAACAAAAACATTCTTCTAAAACTTTAAGTACATGTCATATGCAGATTAAAAAGCATGGAGGGGGCAGGCTGGCAGAGCAACCAAGGTTCTTGAAGTGAACCCAAAAGATGTTATTCACATTTTTTTAATCAAGTGGACAAATGCATTACTGCATGGGGGGGGGGGGGGGGGAAATCCAACAGGAACCCTATTACTTATTATTCTATTGTGGTCCAAACAAATTCCATGATTCTATAGCAAATACAATCTTGTGAGGTGCAGGAGGCCACAATGGAAATACAATTACTCTTGGAAGTCATGTAGGGTGTATGTCAGGTGCAATATTTCTAAAGCAGGTGCGTGCTAACATCTCTGCCTAATACTGATTAAGTCACAAGCTACATTCTAAAAAAACCTTTTATATTTAAGGAAGCTTGAGAACTGTTACATATAATTAGCATAAACTTAGAGTCTTGTTCCTACTTCAGGTACCCAAGATTCCTTTATTTTTCTTTGAGCCCCCCTTTTTAGCACTTCTTTGAAATGAGGAAATGCAATAATTTCCTGAGCTGTGCTACATGTGAGCACGTATTTTATTCACATTACCCAGCTGCAATATGGTTCAATATGGTTCAAAGCCCACATAATCCCTAATCCAACACTGCATTTATCAGCCTATCCCTTAATTCCTATCATACTGTGCATAATACCTTTTCCCCCATTTCTTTGTCTATTAATAGAGAAACAGACATTTTCTTAGGGGTATTATATTTATACAATCACTTATCCTGAGTTAACCCTTCAAATCTGACAGCCAGATCAGTTAAGGAAGGAAGACAGCCGGAATACATGGTGAATACATGGTGAAGACTCAGAAAAACCATTTTTAAAAGTGCAAATCATCTGTGTATTTCAGATCATAGGATCCTTAGGTATGTTTTATTATCTGAATGACAATGCTGCCCGTTAACAACACAAAATAAGAGCTGCAATATGCTCAAAGAAATGAGAAAGTCCTATTATCAGATTTTGGTTCAGATCTTCACACTTCCATCGAAACTTAGTGGGTAACCTCAGACCAGTAACACATGCTCAGCCTAACCTACCTCATAGGCTTGTTGTAAGAATAAAATGAGGAAGGGAGAGCCATGCATGATGCCCTGACCTCCTGGGGAGACCAGTAGGAAAGAAATGTATGGAATAGAATATTACAGTTAAGCGAGAGTGGAACTAGGTGACAGGAAAAATGAACCCAGCAGTCCTCTATAATATCTTCTTGTTATCCAATGGGGGGAAAGTACATTTCTGTACTTTATAGTTAACTTTTCCTTACCCCAATAAGCCTAAAATGACTTAAGTTCCATAGATTCTGTAACTATTTTACTGTTTCCCTTTCCGTGTATCTATCTGAATTTGAGGAGCAACACTGAAATGTAAATAAAAGCAACTGGCAAAGTGGCTGGTCCAAGACCAGCTTAGGCTTAAAGTAATTCAACTTTTTTTCTTAGATGCTCCTAATATAACACCTTAAACTGTAGTTTACCCTAGATCATCCCTAGAGTGCATTGTTCATGCTCAGTGCTTAACCACCTTCAAGTAACTGGAACATCTTCAGCATATGCTTTGGCAAAGCAGCAGCACTACCTTAAGGAAACATGCACTGTATTCCAGCAAATACTCCTCTTTAAATTTAGCAGGATGCTTTTTGGTTCATCTTGCCTAATGTGAACTACTTTGAAAAATAATTGGGTATACAGGTAAACAATATAAATTTCAGCTGTTTTTAGTCAAAATCCTCAAGGCATCCACAGGCCAACTTTCTTTCCTGGTGCCTAGCCCTGAAGACAACCATGGGCTGAGTTTCGTCTTCTGGTTGCAGTATTCTTTCAAGAGTGCATAATTGGTTCTACAACTTCTTAATCCACACATTAGTAAATGATGCCCTTACTTTTCTTTATATAAACAAACAAAAACCCCAGAAATATACTGATTTTGACATTTGGATGCTTTTTTACCCCAGTCCATATAGCACACTTTTGTACAAAAATACCCCATGAAGTCTTAAACCAAATTAAGAATGCTCCATGCCAGCCAATAAAGAATTTGATATTATTTCTGCCAACTTCCTTTCACAGAAATGAAGAATGAAACAACTTAGGTTTTGACTAAACACAGCTTGAAACTTGCTTTCTTATATAACAGAGAATTCATTTGGAGCACATCTCTACCCCACATATACTTATCAGCACAATTCATCCTTAATAAGCTTGCTCAGATTTCTCCTAAAAAAAGAAAGAAATGGTGCCAACAAAACTGGTATTGTGTAAATCTTCCTTATGTGCCATTTGCCTCATGCCTCCGAGTTCCTTCATTTTCACTGATCCAAAACCCAGTTTTTCTGTCTCATGTTCAATCCAATTCACAATGTGTTATCAGACAATGGATTGTATTTACCATTCAGCTCAGCTGAGCAGGGACCTTGGAATGCACCAGCCTCAGCCCATCCCCAGTAAAGATGTCTATAAAACAAATCTAAAAATTCAATAGGTGGTATTCATATTTGTTACATAAAATTAAGTGGTGATGGCATTCCTTTTAATACCACTGAACAGAATAAGATCTGACTAAAACTATATTTTAATATATTAAATTCTTTCTTGCCTCTGCCCAAAAAACTCATTTTTATGGCAGATCTTCACAATTTGTTTAAAAGGCCACCGTCAACACCTTCAGGCTTGCTTGCCTCCTACACCAAGTCTGTCAGTGGTATTACTTAGATTTAGGAGCAAAATAATTTGTGTGAAAATTTCTATTATTCTCACTTTCTTTCCAGGCTTGTTGCTTATCTTACACTACAGCAACAGAAAATGAGATCAGCATTACAATCTGTCTCAAGTTCAGATGCTCTACAGTGGCTTGATTTTGATATCATGCCAAACAATTATTTATACTAGCCATAGCTTAGAAACAAAACCATAGTTTGAGGTTCCAAACCACAGACAAACCATGGATCAGAGATGCTTGTCTGGTTTAATTTTCATCAGCTTAGCATTCAGATACAGTGACTTCCAAAGGTGGCACACCAGAGATAAGAACAGTCAGTTCATACTTTATACCAAACCACAATTTGCTGGCCAATAGCAAAACACGGTTTGTTAACTGAAACACTACACAAAACCACAGCTGAGCTTCTGAAGTGAACTTCCTCACTGCTTTGTAAAAACAGACAAAAATATGCTGTTCTAGAACAGCTTTGGCTTTTGAAAATCTTGCAAAAAGACACATTATTGGTCATAGATCCTGTTATTCTAATTACCTACAGTCATTAGTTAAAGGCAGTTAAAACAGCTATAGGATCACAAAAAAGGAAATGTCAAAGAGACTACCATGCACTATTTATAAGTGAAAAGAAGCTTAAATATCACACTCTTTAGGGCATAACAGATTTATAAATTCATTTAGAAAAAACTTTATGCGGCCTAAGGAATCTGCCTAATAAAATTTACAAAATAAAATATTACAGCATTAAGAATTCAGCCCAGCATAAAAACAAACCACTGATGACTTAAAATAACAGTTCCCAAGCTAAAACAGTATTAAAGGATCAATCTCTTCATTAAAAGCCTCAGTGAATGGAAACATTTTGGCCTGGCACCTAGAAGAAAGCAACACAGGCATCAAGTGAGCCTGCTGGAGAATTGCATTCCATAAGCAAGATGCCACTACTGAAAGAGCCCTGTCTCTGGTTGCCACTCACCTCACCTCTGAAGATGGGGCCACAAGAGTGCCAGGCATGTGAAATCTTGAGTGCCAGGCATGTGAAATCTTAACTGGCAGGCTGGACAATATGGGAGAAAGCAGTTCTTCAAGCTGTACAAACAATTAATACAATAACTATAAGCAGATTAGAAAACTGATACTTACAGCCATAATTAACTCAAAGGGGTGTTTATATACCCTCACAGGAGACTGGTATTTCTGCACCATGGTTGCAAATAATTAGTGCTTCACAGATCTGAAAAAAATGACAGAATCAAGTCATGCACAATGACCATTAACTATGGAGACTTTGCATGTCACCGTCACTAAAATCCCACATCTTAAAAACACATAACAAAATGATTTCAAACAGAGATTTTAATCAGTAATTCATAAAACCAGTGCCGTGATCAGAATATCTTTTCTTCAACATTTCCTCTAACATTGTATATGTTAATGCCACAGCTACATTCAGTACTATTACAAAGTTTTAACAACTATATTTAAGACAGAAATTACTATACTTAAATGCCCTAAGAGTATGGAAACCTAACACAAGTAGTATTTATATGCACACAATCTATTTTAAGCAAGGCAATTCTGAGTCAGTTTATAACCACTCACTTAGAAAGTGAATGAATAGCAGCACACTGGGCTGCATGACTGTCGGCAAAAACGGCACCACTAGCAGGAAGCTGTCATTTGTGCTGCACATATGACTACATTACAATAATTGGTTTTTAAGATTCTAGCCTTCATAGTTATATAAATATGCTTGAATACACAAACTGATTTATTAGAAAGGCTGACTAATGTGGGGCCTCTAATCCCCCAAGTAACATGCATTAGTATTAAAAGCTTAGGTCATCTTCTGAAAGTGAGGTTTCTTTGTTTTATTTCAGTTTCTTTCAGACAACTAACTAACAGGCTTGCAAATACTACAAGGTAGGAGAATTTACTTATGACACACCACTTATTTTGGTAGGATGAGTCATTTCAGTCAACAAAATCTGTACAATGCATAACTTCCTTGGCCATGCCTTTCAATATAACAAAATACACAATATAATTCTCTTGTGATTTAATTTTAAATAAACACTGTCCAGCAGTATGTACTGCAGCCAACACAGAATAATTCTAATAAGGAACAATAATTTTACTGCTTAAAAAAAGCACTGACAATTTAGGCATTTGAAAAACGCTGAACAGGTACTGCTGGGAGAAATTTTAGTCTTCAAGTCTTAGGATTTAATCAATACTACTAATTTCATTTTTTTTAAAGTATAATTTCCAAACAAAACCAAAAGATTTATATGAAATCTACACCATGTCTACAAAATTCCACAAGCTTAACTGAAAAACATAGCAGGCAATTCCTCAAGTGAGACCGGAAGGTTATGGTAACTTGCACTCTGAACTAGTACTCTGAATAACACACTTATTTAGCAATAAGAAATTAAAATCCTAGACAATTAAAATAAAGAGTTTATTCAGTACAGGATATATTTTATATTATTTTAGCTACTTTGAGTGCCATAGAGTTTAAAAACAGAATTAATCATAAAAATCACGGCTGAGCCATGGACACCTAAAGTGGCCTCTTACCAAGTCCGTGAAAAAAGTAGCCTATTTAGTTACTTGAATGCAAAGTGAAGTAATTGTTACTTTAAAATATTTCCAGCTCACTCCATCCCTGAGACTTGAAAGCTAGTAGCAACCATTTTAAAAATATAAGCACATTTTAAAATCCCTTATAATCAGAGATGTTAATTAATATAGTGAATAGTTCTAGATTGTTTTATTTTATGTTTAGTTTCCTTAGGTTAGCACAGAAATGAGGAAAGATGGGTGAAAAGCCTAACCCCCCTGAGATAACTTAGGTGTCTCCCAAATGCTCACTACGAACACCCCTTAAGGAATGCATGGATTTAAATACTCAGTGAATGTGACTCCCAAAAGATATACTGACATCTTATTTTTAGTGTGCACTGGTTTTCTGTACATAACTGACACAAAGTGTCTTCCAACATCCATTCATAGGACAGATGATCAGGAGGACCAGATTTTTGGGGTGGGGGAGAACGGAGTTCTTTCTCTGTACCAAACAAGTGACTGCTTCTCCCTTTAGCTTAGGAATGCTAATGAAAGTTAGCATTCTCTTCCCAGGAGTTTTGAGTTTCTAAAGGCAAGGAATGCTGAGGGGGAAAACAGAGCCCTCCAAGAAAAAAACGCAACAATATATCTGCCAGCAAGTCACCAAACCATTATGCTTAACTGGCTGGAAAGAGGCTTTTTGAGGCAGCCAAGCAGGACAAACTCAAATTAAGATCAAGCAAGCACGCACTTCAGTGAGCAGCTGTTCTCTTTTTTCTACCCCAACAATGAGCAGCTGTTCTTTTTTTTTTTTCCTACCCCAATTCATGCATGGACTGCAAAGCTGTCAAAAATTATTTTTAAAGGAACCTTGTCCTTTTTAAAAATGAGGGCCAGTGGAAATAGTGTATTAACACTGATCTAGGATATATTCATTACATATTCATCTACCACTGACTCACAAGTATTCACATGCTGTAGACATAGCTGCCTCCTAATTGCAAGTGCTTTCCCAAATTTCCTGTAGAATGGAGCCCAGCAATGCAAGCCCCCCCCCCCTCAAAAGCAGACATTTCCCTTAATGTGCACAGGGGGAGAAAGGGGTAGAGAGACTATAGGGGAAAAAGTCAATACCTGGCAGCAAAACCACTCACAAATTATGTCATGTGCTGAAGATATCATGTCGTCATTTTTAGACAGCAAGACAGAAGAGGAAAAAATACAGACACAGAATAGTGGACAGAAAAACAAGAAACGGGGAAAGCAAAATTAAATAAAAAGGTAATTTTTAAAGCCAGAGGACCTGAGCGTAAACTGATAGGGGCAGTAGAAAGAAAAAAAGAGATAAAGCAAAGGCAATTCGGGACAGCAGTAGAGCAGTGACCAAAGGGACCTATGGCAAAGGAAGGAATGATGAAGTTAGGAGGGAATAAAGATATACCCAGCAGACTGGGTATTAGTGGTTTCGTGCACCTTGGTGTTTAGTCACGCCGGCCACATGACCACGGAAACGTCTTCGGACAGCGCTGGCTCTTCGGCTTTGAAACGGAGATGAGCACCGCAACCCTAGAGTCGGATTGGACTGGCTTTCGAGCAAGGGAACCTTTACCTTACTAAGACAGAGAAAGAGAGGATGCCTTACAAGACTCAGAACAGAGCCACAGTGTGGTTGAGAATACCACAATCGAAGATGGAAGTAGGGAAGGGGAGAGGAATGCACATCTCCGCCTGTGAGGCAACAGTCGAGCAACATGCAAATACAGAACGGCAGAACAAGGCACATACCCGAACTTACTATCTGACGCGAAACCCTTCACAAAGACTAGAGAATTTAGGGAAGGAAGGAACCCTGTAAGATCCATAAAGTATTAAAGCCATTAGAGGGAACAAAGCAAAAACAGAGGGAAGGGGGGGGAGGAAAAGAGGAAGAGAAAAGAGGCGGAAGGGGGGAAGAGGGAAAGAAGAAGAGAAGAGAGGCACCACGGAAGTCCGAGACAAAAGCTAGGAAAACAATACAGCATCGCTTTTGTTTCTGGTTGTGCTATATGGCCAACTTCCCCGCTCCCCCCCCCCTTTGGAAAACCCTGATCGGGAAGTAACAGAAGGAAAGGACATGTAGGAATGTATCGTCTTAAATGCAGCGGGGAGAGAGCGGGAGGAAGGAGGCATCGCAGCCGTGCGTAGGCAGGAGAGCCGTTGAGGGGAGGATTAGGAGGGAGGGGGGAGCCCGGAAAGGACCCTGAGGAACGGGAAGCGCCCAAGCTGGCAGTAGAAGACACTGAAGAGGCGGCTGTCCGCACGGGTGTGTGTGTGTGTGTGTGTGAAGCGCCCTTCGCTTACCTTGTATCGCTAAGGCCGGCTGACATCTGACCTCATTTCGGCTCCCCGTTCAACTCTCCTGCCGCCCTTCCTGCTGCTTTTGGTGGTATTGATGTTGCTGCTGCTGCTGCCCCCGCCGGTTCCGGAAAGCACCGCAACGACAGTAGCAGCAGCCCAGCCTGCTGTTAACCACTCACGGGGGCAGAGGAGGTGCCTGGCCGCTTGCCGACTACCACACTTGCGCACTAAGAGAACGGGCCATTTTCTCCTCTTTTGCTCGGAAAGGAGGTGGGTGCGTACGCGGCTCTGCGCATGCTCGACTCAGACCGATTCGCTCGGTGTTTCGGCGCCTGCGCAAACTGGAGGCAACTCGCAAGCAGACGTCAAAGGAGGATTGGTTTTTAACCTTTTCATCGGTTATTATGATGGTATCGGCTTTTTGGAATGCGACTCTACGTTCTTCTTTTAAACTGGCGTCGTTGCCCGCTGTTGCGTTGGTGACATGCCAGCGCCGAGGCAAGGGAACAGAACCAGGGACAGAAGCAAAAATACTTTTGTTATATTAAATTCCACCCCCTCGCCAGATGCCCACTAGAAAGTATCAAAGAAATATGGAAAATAAAACATCACTTCAGAAAATTCAGATAAATTTGGGGAAACTACTGGGCTGATTAGTGCATGCTCACTCAGAATCAATGCCTTTGAATTCAGTGGGGCATTCTTTGAATCAAGTTTATTTTTTGATTGATTGATTTGTACTCCCACCCTCCCCACCGAAACAGGTTCAGGGCGGCTTACGGAAAATTATCACAGATAAAATAGCAATATAAATCTCTCCCCTTATAATAATCGGGACTTCAGGTGGCAAGATTCGATGTGTGCCAAAATCAATTGGCTCTCTCATCTGCCATTCACCCCAATCCCTTTCCATTGGCTGCCTTGCCTTGCAGCCTTGTGTCAGCGAGCTGCCATCTCTTTGCTGTAACGTCTCACGTCCCTTCCTTCTCCCCACCCCTACCTTTGTCTTTCTCCGTTAGGCAACTGCTGTAACCAAGGTCGCCAGCTGGTGAGAAGTGGGAGTTATGTCTTCGCGCTCTTGCTTGTTTAGCTTTACCCGTGTGAAAGGAACTTGTGTTTAGGAAACCGGGCGTTACTTTCTCATGTAACTTCGCGCCCTTTCTAATCTCCCCGTTTCCAGCGGGAAGTGGGACCATTGGTCCAAACCTTGTTCAAAATCCCTTTATTATACCTGTACTGCTGACTAACGTCATTCCAATCAATTCCTGTGTGTTCGTGATCAACCATGTCTTTGAAATAAATCTTGCTTTACTTTTGAACGTGGATCTATTCTCATGCTTGGGGATCTAACAGAACTGAAAATTATATTTCCATGTCATATTTATTGAAGGATGCCAACTTATACCTAGGATAGGTTATAGGAGGACTAAATCTCTTAAAGACATCATAGTTAGATCAGATATAAGGGAGGATATGCAGGTTAAGACCCAATCTGTAGGACGTAGACATTGTTTGAAATGTAAAGCCTGCAAGGTAATGTGGGAAGGTGACAATTTCATCTTAAATGCTCTCCTCCCCCAGATGGGGGGATTTTTAAGAGGTTAGTGAAGAACTGGCCACCAGTCTGGAAAGTTCACTCCATTCATTTATGTTATAGACTTTGAGGCAGGTGGGACCTTCTTGGGCAGGGGGTAGTGAGGAGAGGAAAGGGGCTGGAAGGAAGCCAGCTAGATAATGGGAGATCCTATCGGGGGGCTAATATGGGTGGAGGGATGGCCAAGAGGGAAATGCAGTGGGCTCCGTGAGAGCCTGTTTGATCAAGGGTTATACCCGGAAAGACCACAGAGTTGCCCTCTGGAGAGCTACCGAGACGAAGACGACTTTTGGCCAACCGAAAGGCCGAGTGGACTCATACCTGGCCGAGAGGGAGCGGGGCGCCAGGAGAGCAGAGAGGAACGACTGACAGAGCTGGAAAGAGCTGTGCAAGACCTGATGAGGACAGTAACCGAA